TTTATCAAATTATCATAAAACATTGGGTTAAATTCACTAATGGTCATCCAACTTTATACATAGTGTCACCATGACCACTCAATTTGATTTTGCTTCATCATGATCATTCAATTTCATATTTAGTATAGCCATAACCACATATTTTCATATAATATTTCACTATGGTCACTCAATTTCTTTCACAATTTTCACTAATTTTAAACAATGTAACACGACAATTATTTTTCTTAGTAATTTTTTTTTTTAAAATAAGTTTTTATTTTATTTTTTGTTTGGATTAATAACAGACAACCTCCCTAAAAATGTTTCTAATTGCGATATACCCCACTATCTATTGAAAATCACAAAAACCCCAATATTTGAAATATTTTGTGTGAAAATCCCATATCGTCCAATTTCGTTAATTTTACCGTTAAAAATAGTAAAAATTGAAAAAATTAAAAATGAATAATTACAGTTGTGATCCTAAAATTTTTTACTTTTTAACAAATTACACCAAATTTTTTATTTGTACCACTTATATTCCCAAACATTTAAAACTTATCTCCCACACCACTCTCACCCTACCCCAAATCTGTAAATTGAGTGACATCAAGTGAAATATTTCCCTTTTATTCTCCCATTACTTCTTACTCTTACTGAATTGAGCTTTCACTTTCTCAGCTCAAATCCTCGAAGGAGGGAAAATCAATGGAAAACATTTCTCATTCACTTCCCAAGAGGAATTTGTCGGAACTCGCGATATTTTTAATAAGTTAGTGTACGATGACGGATTTGGGGGCCTACAGAAGTTCGGACTCCCCATACTGGCGCCCCGATTTGGGGACTACGCTAAGATTTTCAGTGGCTTCCACTCGACTCGATCTTCTTCCATTCCGGTTTTGGATCTTCCTATAATTGATGTGGAGGCACGGTTTCATTTTGATATACGGAGTCTTGATTTTAACTATTCAGAGATTGTCGAAAATTTCAATGGTTTGGATTTTGCTTTATCTTCCAACCCACTTATAAGATATAAACGTGTAAAATAAGTGACCTCAAGTAAAATATCTCCCTTTTATTCCCCCATTACTCCCTACCACCCATATTCCCAAAAACTTATTTGCACCCCACATCGGATTACTTGGAGCATAATTTGGACAAAGTTTTCTGATGCTGTGAGCCTTTTGATCAATAGCCAGTTGGGAATTCTCTTCTTCTTTTCCCAAATAGCTTGAATATTTTTCATTACCAGAACAGAACATAAGATTACGAGAACTATAATATTTTGACCTTTTTTTCTTGGAAATTACTGACTGTGACTATTCATCATCATCGTCTTCTTCTTCTTGGTGAGTACTGTTCAAATTTTTTATGGAGGAGGGGGGTTTAGATTGAAAATGGAACAAACAATTGATTTTGGGTTAAGTTGGGCTAGCGGTGGCAAAAAAGTTCGGAGGCTCGCACAGCTCGGACTCGTCTTGGAAAAAGCCCGAGCCAAGCTGAGTTGGGCTAGCGGTGGCAAAAAAGCTCGAAGGCTCACACGGCTCAGGCTCGCACGATCACGGGTCGGCCCGTGTGACAGGCTGAAACGGCTCGTGTAAATAAAAAAAAAAAATTCAAATTTTGATTTCAAATTAAAGCTACCTCTACCTGCTACTACAAAATAAAGAGTTGTCTTAAAATAATACAATAGGATCGTCTTGTATAATTTATAAAAAATAAGAAAAATAAATTTCAAATTAAAGCTGCCTGATGTGCAGGCAGCGTGCAGCTACAAAACTGTAGCTGCGACAGCAAGCAACTTTGTACAAGTTTTACAACATTTTTTCTATTTTGCACAAGTATTTCAAAAATATAGGAGTTTGTCAATTTTTGTTGATGTAGTTTATTCTATGGAGTCAAAATTTCGAAAATATTGGGAAAAGATACCCTCTTTATTTTTATTAGCTTCGGTGATGGACCCTCGACTTAATTTAACTGGCTCAAAAGCTACTATAAAAGGGATTTCAAATTTTATGAATGTACAATTATCACATGTGTATATAGAATCAATGTTATGTGAAATGTATAACAATTACGCTGAAAAAGAATGTCAGTGTAGTTCCACTTCCCAAAATTCTTTTTCAAGAAACGCTTCAACAAATGCAGATAATATATGGAGTTATTTAG